GTTGGGGTTGGGGTTGGGGTTGGGGTTGGGGTTGGGGTTGGGGTTGGGTTGGGTTGGGTTGGGTTGGGTTGTTGTTGTTGTTTCTCGCATGGGTTCAATGACCCCCCAAATCCTCCTTTGCTTTGCATGTGAGTGCCCCCCTAAGTACGGTGTCCTTGTGAATTAAATCATCAGGGAGAGAGTGAGAGGGACTTGAGCTATGAATGGTTTGGGAACCATTTGACGACCTGCCTTTTCTTTTGAGGCGCCACGCTCTAACCTGCCGGAGATCGAAAAGAAGAAGTTCTTAGTGCCTGGCTCCATGTGACTCAGCGAATGCGTCAGTCTTGGTTGTTGGTTGCTCTATGTTGCTCTTATATTTCTTTGGATGTTGGGTGGCGAACTGTTCTGATTGGGGTTGCGAACTGTTCAGAATCGCATGCGTGCGATCCTCATTGGGCATTGAGAAGCGGAGAGGAGGATCGCCTTCAGCACTCGATGAATGGCTCGACGAGGATTATTAGAGAATCATGGAAGTGGAACATAGGCCGCATGGAAGGCGATTTTCCTCGACAAAGGAGCCTTGAGCTTTGCTCGGCTTTCATGACTGCTTGATAGAATGATGTTCGTCAAAAAGCGCAAATATCTATATATATACGATGTCTTCTTGTGTTTGACTTTTTTTCTCAGCCAGGAGCCCTGGGAGAGGCCGCTGGTATGGTCGACGCGACGACTGAGGCTGTGTGGTGAGTTCAAGTACATCGTGCACAAGCACATCCAGCAAGCAGCCAATGGAACTGGTTTGGCTGCAGACCAGGCGGGCTGCGACTGTGAAAGGTGGTGTGATCAGAATGTAGAGCAGTCGAAGACTACCACTACTTGAAGTGAAGCGTACAACTCAAAAGACCTCCTGAGACTCCGAACGAAACAAGGCTGAGAGACGGGTTCCTTTTTGACGGTGGGCCATCACGACATCTCACGATCCTGCTGTGTAGATCGGGGGCGTCCTAGTGGGCTCAGTCGGCAAATAATTATCACTTTAAAACTTTAAAGAAAGACCTTTACTAACCATCATCCCCCACTGTTACAGGGAATGTGATATACTGATATACTCAAGATCTACGTACATCGGGGTACGACATTTCTCCCACCACAGTCTCTCCTCTTGAGACTGGCAACAACCGAGTGACACGCAGGTCATTTACCTCTTCACCACGAATGGCCGCAACACCAACGTGAAGACGGGCGAGATGATGTCCGAGGTGTGATCTTGTGCTGGGGAAACTCCCAAACATTCCCAAACGCTCCATGGGACTGGCGTATTGACATACAGACAGGGGTGGTTGAAAGGGGGGCAGGCAGTGTCTGCATATATTCCATCTGGAGTTAATTTATGTAGGAGTGTTTGGGATTGGGCTTTGGCTGGTCCTTGTGTGTCAACAAGGGAATCTGGAGGCGAGAAATCTCCCTATTCGGGCATTGCTTATTTTGGTGTGCAGGAAATTGATGGAGGGGTGCAAAGGATTTGAGGGATCTGCAGCTACAAATTTGAGGACATTTTGGCAGCTGAAAGCTGCCCAGAACCATGTTTTGCACCTCTTTGACCCATTTGTCCCTGAGTTTTGCAAGGAAATGAGCTGAAACAGATGCAGGGACCCTTTCCTGACCTTTCCCCTGGTTTAAAGGCAGACTGTTGGAGTGGGAAGGTGGTTCTTGATTGGGCGCCTTGACGTCAGTGGAAAGACCAAAGACTGCAGAGGAACAGGACCGCACTGCAAGGACACCGGTGGTGTGAACGAATCATCGTCGACTGGGACCGGGTGGGGTTCGGTCAAAGTCTTTGTACTTCAGGCCAGGCTACACCACTATTCATTGGTGTTATAGCTGTTACAACCCGGGAAGATTGATATTGAACCTGATGGCATGGACCTGCAAGGAGAACGACAGCTTCCTCCAGCTTCCTCCACGTTCACCAGTGGTTTTCAAAATCCATGTTACATCTTCCAGGGCGTATTTGGCATTTGAGTCTTCGAGGTTCCAGATTGGGCCCGAAAACGCTGAACAGCTGGCTTCATGACCATTCGCCTCGGGCAAGACATGTTTTTGATGCTGCTCCGCAGATCTATGACCGATATAAGTCCGATGACGGCTTCCTGTACATCGCGTACAGCGCTGAGAACACCCTGGGCTGAAGCAGACTTAGAGTCAGCACACCTGTACAAAGAATCTGCCTCCTTTAGTAAAGGCAGGCTTCAGTCCTTCCTGATTTGAGCCTCACACCATTTTCAGTCTATGGCAAGTATTAGCTGAACTGGACCAACAGGAGAGTTTGGGATGATGGGCGAAAGGCATTCATAGTTCAAAAAACTTTTCACATATAAATTATGTGCCCCTTCCGGGGCCAAGCCTGAAAGTTCTCGAAATCAAGTGACTTATTTACTAGATTCCTTTGCTAGTAATTACAAGTGCCTCGCTAGTAGTAACAGGTGCCTTACTAGTAGTAACAAGAAGCTATTAGTAACAAGTGCCACGC